AATAGAACTTATGATTGCCTCTATCTAGCTCAGCATTAAAACAATGAGACCTAATAACCAATCTAGTAGTTCAAAATATTTTTTAAAATATATTTCTGCACATATTTCTAATCCAAGAAAGAAAACCTTCATGAAATTTAGTAAGAGGCTTTATGGCTTCAACAATCCAATACCATTATTTACATGCAGGAAACAGCTAATATTACCATTACCATTATTCCTTACTGTTGTAGCATACCTACGGATGATAATGGGTATATCTCCATTCACATAAATACAGTAGTAAATACTGTATGTTGGTCTGAAGTTGGAGATTCATTATGAAATTCACTTGACTCACTTCTAGCAGTTGACTACTACTTCTACGCGATGCTGGCGAATCTTATATGTGTTGCTCTTGTCCTAAGTATTATCGTTCATTACCAACATTCGTTTGATTATTCTATTCAGTAGCCTTCCCTAGATTACAACACTTACCAAGGTTACCATGAGTTTCATTTGTGCCATTTGAAAATTGTTGAATGATTCCAAATGCCTAATCTACAAAGAATCCTCAGGTTATATTATTGGGATAAGGTACTTCGAAATTGTTCACAATCAATGACCATCAAAGTAATGTTTGTCAATTGACAATTACATTGAGTTGGCCATACATTTGATATGCCTGACAACCAACTAAAGCAATGTGCTTTATTTCGTTTATTAGAGTTGAGTGAAAAGGCTGTTGATGGTCAGTACATCAGTGCAGGGACCATGTCAGAAGCTGTTATGAAAACATGTAATGTCTTAACTAACCAATTAGAAAAGTTGGCTGGTGATCAGGCTAGTTGACAATGTTTATATAGATGCTGTTCAAACCACAGAAGCAAGATTAGTCCAGCCAGTTGAGGAATGCCATCAAAGATGTCATACACCAAATCCTTCCTCTGACATCGTTCAAGATCTTTTCAGATGCCATACTTGTGAAAATATGTGCTGTTCCTATGTTGGTCTAGTGAGATATACAAGAACCAATCTACCATGTGAAGAACCTTTCGACTATAACATTGATTTCATCTTATTACTATTGGTGTAAATTATTACTATTTACTTCAGCAGTCAAAGAGTGTCTCAATCCAGATTATGTTATGGTGACAAAAAACAATAATAAGATTGAGTAAAACTAGTCATAATAATAAAATGGATGTCAACTGAGAGTATTATGATAAAAACAACAATAGTAAAATAGCATAAAACTAATAATAAAAAGATAATGACTTTTTTATATGTGACAAAGCATATTGAATAATTGAAAACATTTGAACACTTTGTCTACTTTTTAACACTTTCTCTACTCCACAATTTAAAATATGAAAATAACTCTAAAAATATATTCATAAGTTATCAATTACTGTGTTTTATTTAATTAATACTACAATCTTATTTCAGCTTATTGACTTTATCCACCAACAATTAGACATTACTTTTTTTAAGATACTTAACTTTCTCATTTGTTAATCAAATCTTAATTACTTGCAAGTATGTTTTTTTATGATTATTTTATTTGCTATATAATTGCAAACAATTGCATGAAATAAAATAAAGCACGTTCCTGTTGGTTGCTTGTCAAATATGACAACTTGTTCTGGATTCATTTTCTTGTTCATGTAATTTTCTTTAACAATATTACTTTTAATAACAGTTCATAAATCACACAAAAATATACTTTGGATTATATACCATTTTTATGGCTTCAACAGATTCATGTATATATACAATCAAAACAGGTGTCAGTAATTTTGTGTTTCCTGTAGACATTACCAAATGGAAACAACAGATTTTTTAAAGGAATATTTGAGTCTCAGGTAATTTTCTAACAGGAAAATTGCTTCATTTGGTGCAATTATTTAAACAATTCAAAAACTTCATTCTCTCTCTTTTTTAATACAATTCCGTACAAATAACTTACAAAAGACAGGAAATTGTGGAGAGCCATGATCACCTATGTCCTGAGGAGACACTGCACATAAAGAAGTGTATAGTTTTTTTTAATTTTATAATTATGAACAAAAATCCTTTAATTTTTTATCAACACTTGCAATGCTTACCTCAAACATAAAACTAATATGTATGAAGGAATACAGTTTTAAGGTGTGCTATATTTATAGGATAAAGTGCTCAATATCAGAGATAGAGTGTATATAAATATAAAAGTGAACATTGAAGTCAACAATCAGAGGCAACAGACTGTTTCATGCTAAATGCAATTGCCAGGCCACATGTGTTGTGTTTTTTCTTGACTATATATATGGGTCAGTAATGCATTGTAGGTGGTCTATTGCATTGTGGGTAGTTTATTCTAACAGTTATTTTGGCAGGAGTGGGTTGTTAATTTGTTTATTATTTACTTTATTTATTTTATATTTATTTATTTGGATTAATTTATTTTACTTGTTTTTACTTATTTATTTTTATTTATTCTTTTCATTTTTGATTCTTAAGTAACATAGTAAAAATTTGTTTTTGTGTCTGCATTTTGAGATGAGTTCTGATTTTTTATTTAGTAGTTTGATTTTGTCTGGGAAGGTAATTATGGCTATTTTTTCCTCCAAGCAGTGTTTGCAGTTTTTTGTTGATTGTTGTAGGCTGATTTTTTTTTTCTTATTTTCCATGATATTTTTGGTGTGATTTGATTTTTGTTTTTAATTTCCCAGATATACTGGGAAAGGATTGTGCTGTTTGCATATTTACTATTTGTGAAAGATGTTTTGTGTGCATAGTTTCTTTGTTTCCAGGGTCCTTCAGTTACTCTTATGTATATTTTCTCTTCATGATCTGATGATTTTATCATGGCTTGATATATTGCATTGTTTTGTAGGCAATTGTTGTTTAAAGGACATTCATTTATTATCAAATTTTCCAATCCCTCTTTTCACATTATGTGCCCCAAAAATTTCAAGTATCACTTTCTGATGTATAAGTGTCCTTTTTTTTCCATTTTCTCTAAAACTTTGCCATTGCTCACATGTTTAGTCTATGGTCTTCTCAGCATCCTTCTGTAGAACCACATTTCTGTTGCTTCAAGTTTTTTCTTCATCTGTGAGGAGATTGTTCAGCATTCAGTTCCATATACCAGGAATGATGTTACATAATTGTTCAATACTCTTTTCTTTGTTTTCTCCCTGGTGAAGATGATGTAAAGTAATTTTAGTGGGCTAATTCTTACTTGCATCACCCGTTCATCTTATATTATGCATACTAAATATTACACTGACCATGAAATGGCCCTAGCTTTTGAGAGATGATGATGATCCTGGCTCAAATCTAATGATGCTCAATGCTGTATCTATTGTTGGCTCTTAAGAATATGATTAGAGAAGATCTATGTTCAGTATGATTTTTCTTGTATCATGCACTTTGATCTCATAAAGTGCACTTTGATCTTCCTTTCTATTTATTAATCTAGGAATATCTTTTTTAGTCATTTCAATCCCAGCAAAGCAATAAAGCCACTTAGGGAGAACAATAAATAACAATCAAATGTTTTCAGGAGAAAGAAGGCCAAAATAACTGCCATCTATGGCAATACAAACTTGCCAGAAAGTGGTGAAGACTAAGTCACAATTTGGCTTCAGGGTTGCCCACCAAAAGTACATGCTGGAACACATATTCATGTGTTATAAGGCACTCAGGGACAGATTTAGATGAAAAGAAACTCTGAGGTAGGCTATTCTTCTTGTGAGGCCCCTCCACACCCCCATTCTCATGAGGAAAATGGAAGAATACTAAATTAAACAATTTCAGTAAAGCTGAGGATGATGACAGGTGTTTAAAATTACAGTGTTAAAATGTTATTTAGAGTCTACAATGTGTTATGACAGCATGTGTAAGAAAGGCATATGACAGCATCAAAAATATTATACACCTTGGCTGGAACACACACCCCACCTGATTTTGAAGCCCTGCTAAAGTTATAGGTACATTCAGGTACTGATAGTACTGCAAATACCCTGTTATTATGTAACTATTGACAAGAGAATCCTCTCTAAGTGCTACCAAAGATTTCGGATTCCTTACTGCCAGTCAAGATACAGCAAGCAGAAAAGTGCCAACCCAGTACCCTCAGAAATAAAAGTAAATGCCACTGATCAGTTAGATCATCAAAAAGTTAAGAGTTAAATCATTAAGGCCATGGAAGAAAAAGAGAACTGATAAACCATATCCTAAACAGGAAACAAGGGATAAACCTCTACTCCTGTTCAATAAACATGAAAGGAGTACTGGTTGGACGGTAGGCAAATCTATCTACTTCTAATAAATATGTGTGAATGTATAACTTTATAGAAGTTATTAAATTTAGGTTAGTCTGGCAAAAATATATTGCACTCAGTATGGATCAAACTCATTACAGGAGTAACAATTTGTGAAATTTGTTTGCTTAGCACTGTTCTATAGTGAAGTATTGAAGCTTATAACTACTTTATTTTATAAAATCTCATAATAAATGATTTGTACAAAACCTAGGTACATGTTCAAGTACTAACTAAGACATTATCTGTACAAAGCTAATTTGATGTATCTTTATTGACTGATGTATTTTGTATCAATTTGCCATGTCCAAATTACTGCACATCATTATATTGCAGATCCTTATCTCTTTTTGTATAAATTATTGAATACAAAACTGGAATTAATTTATTTAAGCAAAGAATAAAGAAAAGTGACAGGATTCCAAACCTATGTGCAAAATTGTTTTTTTAAGTTTCCTTTTTAACAATTAAAAAATTTATAGAAATTTCAGTTAAAAGAGAAATCATAGTTCTTCTAAAGATGACAAAAGTTCTGTGATAATAGTAAGATTCTTAATGTCAGTTGGTCTTCTGCAAGACTTTCTAATTGACACTTGTGTTTACTATTATTAGTATTAGTAGTTGTCAACAAAGTACTTGTATTTAACAAGTATAAATGGTTTATTATTGAATAACTGAATATATCTTTTGCTACATCTAATTCTCTTTCAGGTGAAAGGATTGCCTGGAATTTACTTGGCTAATCAAGAACCAAAGGATTTACAGTTAAAAGAAAGTGGGAGGCGAACGTTTATATCATTTGACAAGGGAGGGAACTGGAGTTTAATCCCTGTTCCAAACAATCTACGGTCACAGTGTGCAGCTGATAAGGTAAATTTGAAATTTCTCATACTAAAAATTTTCTATAATGATAATGTGTTATGACTTTCAGGTGCTGATATTTTTTTTGAGGGGGGGACACATGGTGGAGTAATAGATAGCGACTTGGATTGAGGAATCAGAGACAAGTTTAAATTCATGTTGACTTTGTCACATTTATTTAAGTGCAACTACTCTTGGAAAATGCATGAATCCATCTCTTCTGCATCCATATGGGTAACTAGCAGGACAAACTGAATCCTATAGCCTTCAGTTGTAACCAGTCTAAGAGAATAAAAATTCTGAATTCAAAAACCTCCAACTATGGGTTAAATAGCCTCACCAAAATTAATCAGGCAATGGTTATTATGGTTATACTCCTTATTGTGTAGAAAGAGGACTGACCTTCTCTAAACAAATTGTTGAACATGGACTTGTTCATGCACTGAGTAGAATGTCTGCTCATAGGAATGGTCATTGTAAAGTGGATCACAATGTGTAGCATTTGAGTCACTAACATTACCGCACTGAGCTACGGTATTTTTGCTCTATTACCGTATTATTAATCCATTTCTGTCATGTGATTAAACATGTTCTTCACTCAACCTTTTGTTTCAGTGTTTCCTTACAGTATTATTAACCAGAACTATGAGCATTATACAGACTTTATAGTATCCCTGAAGATATACTCAAGCAGGGAGAGGTTCTACTAACAGGAATGAGAAAGCCCTGGTTTTGGAAATTTTCAAAAGTTGAATGGGCTTCTTTAGATCTCATGACTATTTATACAGTAGAATTCATTGGATACAAACTGAAGACAGCAAAAATAGATAATCACTTAAAAATGACTCAAGTGGTTTTTATAGATATAAATGAAAGATTGTGCCTAATTTTCATGACTTTGTTTAGTTTATCATTGTATGTATTGTTACTACCATTTGCAATTTATCAGGCAGATATGATTTATTGTGTTATTCGCTCAATTACAATTATTTGAACATAATAATCAGAAGTAATCCTAATGTCAGGTAACAATATTTATTGATAATGATTAGTGATAAGAAGGAAATGTCATTTAGACAAATTGATAATACGTTTTTTTTTTTTTTGAATGCACAAGAGCAATTATAACTGAAATAGTAGTTCTAAGTTGCAGATAAGTTTTTTATGGTCCAGAATGATGGTGACATTTCATCAATCTAAAAATAACCTTGTCATCAGTGATGATAGAAAAGAAGGATATGTTATCATCCTACCCTCATTATTATAAAAACGACCCTTCCACCACAAGAGAGAGAGAGAGAGAGAGAGTAGCGTAGACTAAGGTACTCATAGCAGTAGTCAGTAGTAAAATAGACAAGTAGCAGTACAGAAACTCACATCTGCCAGTGCTTCAGGAAGATTGAAAACAGACAATTTCAAATGCATCCTCACAATCAAAATTCTCAGAACCGAACCAAGTAAGCACTGTCTTTTAAACAAAAGAGACATTGAGAACATTTTAACACACACCATACCAATATTCTGTAATTCACATCACAAAAAGAAAATATAAATTCTTGCTATTTATGTCAACGCATGTCTCAACTTTTTATTGTTGTTATCACTGTATGTTTATGCATTTTAATTTCTGTCATCAGTATCAACCCTATTACAGTCAATAAATAATAATAACAATGGGGAAAATAATACATCAACACCAACTTACCTACCCTGTTACAAGTTCTTGAAAGATTCTAAATGAAAAGACAATAGTGAAATGTGTTTACTTTGTTTCATTGCCATTCTTGTTTGTTGACATTGACCGATCTGTAATCTCAGAAAGAAAATGGAAGCTATCCATAATAAATTTGAATCTTAGTCATAAAGTTGCCAGGCTTTCAGTCAATGTATACAGTCTACATCATACAACAAAGTTGGCATGATTTCTGTCAATGTATAAAGTTTACAGTGAACAAAGTTAGCATGCTTTCAGCCAATATATAAAGTTTATATAATGCAACAAAGTTGGCATACTTTCTGTCAATGCATAAAATTTACATGAAACAAAAGAATTGGCAAGCTTTCTTTCATTGTATACAGTTTACATCAGATGGCAAAATTGGTATGATTTCTTTCAATGCATGTAGTTTACATCAAATGACAAAGCTTCTGTCAGTCCGTACAGCTTACATCAAATGACAAAGCTTCTGTCAGTCTGTACAGCTTACATCAAATGACAAAGCTTCTGTCAGTCCGTACAGCTTACATCAAATGACAAAGCTTCTGTCAGTCCGTACAGCTTACATCAAATGACAAAGCTTCTGTCAGTCCGTACAGCTTACATCAAATGACAAAGCTTCTGTCAGTCCGTACAGGTTACATCAAATGACAAAGCTTCTGTCAGTCCGTACAGTTTACATCAAATGACAAAGCTTCTGTCAGTCAGTACAGTTTACATCAAATGACAAAGCTTCTGTCAGTCCGTACAGTTTACATCAAATGACAAAGCTTCTGTCAGTCCGTACAGCTTACATCAAATGACAAAGCTTCTGTCAGTCCGTACAGTTTACATCAAATGACAAAGCTTCTGTCAGTCCGTACAGTTTACATCAAATGACAAAGCTTCTGTCAGTCCGTACAGTTTACATCAAATGACAAAGCTTCTGTCAGTCCATACAGTTTACATCAAATGACAAAGCTTCTGTCAGTCCGTACAGTTTACATCAAATGACAAAGCTTCTGTCAGTCCGTACAGTTTAAATCAAATGACAAAGCTTCTGTCAGTCCGTACAGTTTACATCAAATGACAAAGCTTCTGTCAGTCCGTACAGCTTACATCAAATGACAAAGCTTCTGTCAGTCCGTACAGCTTACATCAAATGACAAAGCTTCTGTCAGTCCGTACAGCTTACATCAAATGACAAAGCTTCTGTCAGTCCGTACAGTTTACATCAAATGACAAAGCTTCTGTCAGTCCATACAGCTTACATCAAATGACAAAGCTTCTGTCAGTCCGTACAGTTTAAATCAAATGACAAAACTTCTGTCAGTCCGTACAGTTTATATGAAATGACAAAGCTTCTGTCAGTCCGTACAGTTTACATCAAATGACAAAGCTTCTGTCAGTCCGTACAGTTTACATCAAATGACAAAGCTTCTGTCAGTCCGTACAGCTTACATCAAATGACAAAGCTTCTGTCAGTCCGTACAGCTTACATCAAATGACAAAGCTTCTGTCAGTCCGTACAGCTTACATCAAATGACAAAGCTTCTGTCAGTCCGTACAGTTCACATCAAATGACAAAGCCTCTGTCAGTCCGTACAGTTCACATCAAATGACAAAGCTTCTGTCAGTCCGTACAGCTTACATCAAATGACAAAGCTTCTGTCAGTCCGTACAGCTTACATCAAATGACAAAGCTTCTGTCAGTCCGTACAACTTACATCAAATGACAAAGCTTCTGTCAGTCCGTACAGTTTACATCAAATGACAAAGCTTCTGTCAGTCCATACAGTTTACATCAAATGACAAAGCTTCTGTCAGTCCATACAGTTTACATCAAATGACAAAGTTTACATGATTTCTATCAAAGTATATAGTTTACATGAAATAACAATGTTGGCATGTTTTCTGACAATGCATACAGTTTACATCAAACAATAAAGTTGGCATGCTTTCTGCCAAAGGATACAATTTGCATCAAATGATGAAGTTAGCATACTTACTGTTCATTGATACAGTTTAAATCTAATGGTAAATTTGGCCTGCTTTCTCTCAATGTATACAATTTACAGTGAACAACAAAGTTGGAATGCTTTCTCTCAGTGTATACAGTTTACATTAAATGAAGAAGTTGGTATATTTTGGTATTGTATACTGTTTACATCAAATGGCAACTTGCTTTCTCTCAATGCATCAAATAACAAAGTTGTCATGCTTTCTGTCAACATATACAGATCAGATCAAACACCAAACAAGACTGGCTGGAATTAATTTAACTTGCGTCCTATTTCTATCAATTAATACATAAATAAGATTTCCTGATTACTGTTCAATGATACCCACTTTTGACACAATATTAGACTTTTAAGTTAATTGATGGTTGCATTGGTCACAAGCATCTGCCTTTGATCAACATGGTGGATGGTTCTTAGAGAAATTATGTTTACTTTTCATCAGTATGGCTGGTTCATAATATCCAGGAGAGTAACTCATTGTAACTTTGCAGTCTAATTATTTCTACTGACATGAACTGGAACAGTCATATTTAATCAAATACTCGGGGGCTGCCATAAGGGAAGTCGGTTCAATGTCATTCTAGACAATTTTTCTCACCAGATCTACCTTACATATTTATAAGTCTACCATTCATCCATGCATTGAATATTATGGCCGCATCTTTTCTGGTACCTCTAATATGTATATAGAGATTCTTGACAAAATTCAAAGAAAAATCTACAATGTTATTCTGATTTGGCATCTCAGGTTTAATCACTTTCCCACTGCCATAATGTAGCTTCTTTTCCTATGTTTTGTCTATAAATACTTTTATAGTAGTTTTAATAAATGTTCCTCTTTGATACCTCAACTTCATAAATATAAGCAGGTCTCATCATTTTACTGTTGAAATTGCCATATGTAACCATATGTTCTCTGCAAATAGCTTATTCTCTTGTACTTCTCACTTGAGGAACTTGTGGCAACTACCACCACAATTACATACACACAGTACATAGAAATCATGCGACAAGCATTCATTGGTTGATCTCCTCAAAACTAGCTCACTGATTGGTCAATTCCGACCAATCAGATATCCTGCACGCGAGGAATGAAATTTCCCTCTAAGGTTGAGCCGATCACATGATACACTATCTTATATAAACAAAAAACGAGTGGTTCTCTCTCTCTTTTTTGTTACTCTTGCATCTCAATCCTTGCTGCCAAAATGTGACCTTCAAGAACTCTCGTCTTTACCTTGCGGTCAGACGTTAAAGAACGTTACCATTTCACGCAAGTATGAACTCTGAAC